TGAGTGACAACAGTGTGACGTGTTGAGCACGTTGTGCGCTGCATGCCAGGTGATGGGCGTGACCAAACAAGGATAGAATGCAGCAACAGATACTTTTTAGGTTTTAATTGACACGCACAATAAGCAGAAATGTCATGCATTTTAAACGTCTGACAGACCACTCACTAACATTTTCGTCCATTCTCGTCTCGTCAACGAAAACTCACACAAGTCTCGTCATGTTTTAGTCATCAAAGAGCAGTGTTTATCTCGTCACCGTCTCGTTATCGTCATGAAAAAAAGTGGCGTCAACGAAATTATTTCGTCTTCGTCATCGTTGACGAAAACAACACTGCATCAGGGAGCCGCTATCAATATGCGGGAGACTCCCGGAACTTCCGGGAGACTTGGGATGTCTGGATAAAGAGTCCTGCCAGTACAGAGACCATGGATTACTTTACGGTGCTTTACAAGGCTGTTTGGTGTACTATGGTCAATTTTGCAAAGAAAACACTTCATTGTTTGATCTCATCAGATACTAATGCAGCATTCTTGCTCGCAACTCTGGGAGTTTCCTTTGTTTCTCCAATGTCAATGTTGTAAATGGTTGTTTGGAGAAAAGTGAAAATGTTAGTCAGGGAAGGACTGTATGATGTACAGAAAACATAATGCGCCTTAAAGAGTTTGTCAAGGGCTCCCACTAAACCTGTCGACTTACATGGAAGTGCATGCTTGTCGATCACAATGAAGAAAGTGTGAATTCTGCTTCTTTTGGGTCCCTGAGCAAGAAGGTAGGGCTGACTGCTTTGGGCTATGTTGTCTAGATGCTGCTGTACACTGTTTCCAGCCTATAAAAACCCATTAAACAGTAGTACTTAGTGACCAAGCACTGACAATAGATCCGATCACCTCAAACTACGCATGAAATGGAGGTGATGGAAAATATTACACAACTGTTCAGCATACCTTTAAGAATCTGATGACATGATCTACAGCTTGAGATGCATACATCATTCCAGGTCTGTTTCGTCCTTGTGCAGATGGGGGTAGCAAATGTAGCAGGAGCAATATAGCAGACATGTCACTGTCCCAGCCTACAGACCAACAAATATCAGGTTAATATTATCCTACAAATACATTAAATTGTGAAAATTTATTGATCAACATACCATTATCAGCTTCAGCAGCTGACTCAGCACTCCGCATTAAATCCAAGAGCTCTGTGGTGGGTATCAATCCATGGCTTTCCTTTATAAATTTTGCTTTGAGATTGGTGGGCCAGCTCTCCAAGAATTTGTTGGCAGTAGCCTCACCAAATAGAAGTCTGAAATCTTGTTCTATCTGTAATGCAAAGGTACAGTACTTAGAAAGCAGTGATGAGAGCATGCTGCATTAGATATTTCAGTGATTCAACAAATGAAGATGTTTTACCAATCCTGGGGTGTCGAGAAACCGTGGAAAGACTAAGAAGACATCTGTTGCTTTCTTTTCATCGTTGACCATTGAATGACGATAAACAAAAGTAGCTTTCATCTTCTCACGGACAGTCTCTTCATCAGCAGAATGTTTCAAAACAGCAATAGCTGCTTCCACACTCTCATCAGAAAGCTCTTTTTCAGCAGTGACAGGCCTGCGTCGACCATGACATGGCCCACCAACTTAAAATGAAACAGAATTTTATTCACTCCTGCATACACATTTCATCAATATTGTACTGTAACTGATAAGTAAACTTACCTTTGGGAGATTTGCTAACTGAGGCACCTCTTTCCTCTGCAGATTTTCTTTGAATGGTCTTCAACCGCCATGCAAGGTATCCTGAACCACTCTCTGGATCGTAGTAATGTTCCTATGTAATTAAATTAGTGCTGTCAAACGATTAAAATTTTTAATCAGATTAATCACAGGGTTGCTGTGGATTAATTTTGATTAATCACAATTAAATATCATTCATTTTTAATCTATATTAATCACATTTCATTTTGCATGAGCAAACAGACTCAAGAAAAAAGGGAATATATATGCACTTTATTGAACATCTTGAACAAGAGTCAGATGCATTACATCTGCCACAGAAGTGCAATACCATGGACCCATATCAAAAAGCAAGATTTTTTGCTTAGCTGGACAACTTGCCATATTTAAGGTACCTCAGTTTAAATGGTCTTTATCTTCATTCACTTACAATTAGCCCGAACTACCGTAAATCCGACAAATAATCCGACTAATCATGAAATCCAATAGTAGCCCGGTTAACTGCCATTGTTAGCAATATAAGTTAACACATTACGCGTTTTTATGTATAAAACTCCATAGCAACACATCCACAGATAAACTGGACGGTATAGTGTGTGCAACCGATTTAATGAGCCACAAATGAGAAGTAGTGCTTAATCAGTATAAAACTACAACTTTCCCTTCTGTTGATAAAAGGCGCAGCCATCTCAGATTCTGAACTCGGGATCCTCTGTGCTACTCCGGGATATTTCTCGGATCTCCGAGAAATGGGAGCGCGCATGTCGTCACTTCCGGCTTCAAAGCTCGGAATCCGACTCGGAATACGAGTCCCCTTTGCAAATGGAACGCACCAAAACTGCCCGAAATGGGGTGACAGAGACATTTCAGGGATTTTGAGTCATTCTGCGCTGCAGATGGGTTAATTGCGTTAAAATATTTAATCACATTAATCATGATGATGGATTAATCCGCGTTAACCCATTAATTTTGACAGCCCTATATCAAATACATGCAGACTGACTATGTCATCAACATTCCTAACAGTAATTATATTCTTAATGTTGCATGAACCCTTTTAGTTACATATCCATGTGGTGCATATGGGTCTTCCAGATATGGAAACAGAGCAACTATTCCCTGAGTAACATCACTCTGACACTTTTTGGTGGGGACATCCTGTTGTATGAATTCGAGGATGACTCAATTGGACAACACTGTTAAAAGCAATCCATTACTAACAATGTTTCTTTATAGCCTACATGTATGATCCTTACCTATGGGTTTCTGTCATCTCCGCTGCAAGTATGTTAATCATTTGTCTTCTGGTGGCATCTGTCAGAGATTTGGTTCTTGCATACTCTTACATGATGCGTTCACCGCCAGGCTTTGTTGTTAGGATTTTTTCAATCAACTTAAATTGGAATAAAATTTGCAGTAGATAATTTTAAGCCATATGTAAGACTGGAAAATAATTACATAAACATCCTCCCCATTGAATGGAACAACATTCAGATTAGACTTAACAATGTGTACTACACACCGCTTTTGCCTCGTAGTTTATACGGCATGGCCTTTTAGGTTGACTTCCTTCAGCAGCGGCTGCTTCTCCAGGAGGGTCACACTTCATAAAATTCAGAATGACGGTATCTTCAGATGCTGCTGAGGATGATGATAATAGAGATGCACCTGTGCATTAAGGAATATGAACAAAAACAGAAGCATATAAAATGGAACTGTTATGCTCCTGTCCCAACTTTTAAGTTTAATATAAAAACATTTGTGAATTGTCAGTGATTACCAAGTTCTTCTTTGCCCAGCATGATTCGGAAGGTTCCAGGAGACTCCTTCAAAAACCTCTGCGTCAACTTCTGTGTCAGACTGGTCATACACCTTCATATTTAGCTGTCTGTCTTCTGATATGTTAAATTTTAGGCACACTAAAGTAAAAGGAATGAATATTACAGAAACTGTCACAAAATTTGAAAGTCCATCAATTTCTTTCTGATGAAAATCAAACGGTCAGCTAAGTATAGAGTAAGCCTCATGTCTTCACAAAATGCTGATGAGTTAAAGCTGCAGGCAATAGGTCATTCTGATCCATTTTAATGACTCATGACTGCACCCCAAATCTACCTATGGGTACAAATAAAGTAACCTGAACCTGAACCTAATGCACAGGAAAACAATTATTAACTTAACTAATTTAAATGGAATAGTTTTATGATGATTGTGGAATATTAACCAAGTAAAAAGTTGTGATTGTTTTATCATGATATACTAACTAACCTTCTCTCATGAAGGCTTCAAATGTTAGGTCAGACAGTCTAACGTACTTCTGCTCCCTGCCAAACAAAACGCGCAGCAGCATATTCTGTAAAAGTGAAAAAAGAGAAATGAATAATTTTAGAAAAAAAGAATTAAGGACATACTTATTAATGTGCCTTAGAAGTAATGTTTTAATATAAAGGAGAAACATTACTTCAAGGTTAATATTACTTTGCTGTTAAAGTATAAAGAGAGAAAAGTAACAGGTCAGATGCTACTGTTGGCAAAGATCCTTTATCAACCGTCTCTGGCACTTATGATAGATACTGTAGATACTTATGACATATGCCTCAAAAGGGTGAGTTGTGGCTAGAATCTAATGCTGTTCCGTAATCTTAGACAACTTACCAACTAAAGGTAGGAGGAGGATGTTGTAGAGTCATTCCATGAAAATGGCACAATTTGAGTCCCTCTCACCTCTTATGGTGTATTTCATCTATTGGGTCACCAAACTTTATATTTAAACAGCTTTACATATATATTGAAATGCACCCTTTAATACAGTGTAAAAAAAACTGAACTAATTTTTATCTTTTTATTAGAAATAATACAGTTTTTTCATTTGACACCACCTATTTTGTCATGTCCCTCATGGCCTTGATGAAAGTTTACTTTGAAAATACCAAATAAAACTATTTAAAAAGTCAATAAATTTTTATATCAACCTAAACATCTATTTGTGCTCTTTTGCTGGTAATGTTTCTTTTTTTCAAATTTAATTGTTAATTATTCATTAAAATCACAATTATTTCTGTACCTGAGTAACCCCTCAACCCCATTACATGAATGATCCCACCCCCATAAATACAATGGTGTGATCCAGAATTCCATATACATCAGGAAGTGACATCACTGAAGTCTTTTGGACAACAGGACCACAGAGACAGGCAAGTTGCTCCCATCTTTTCCTTTATTTTAGTCATTTATTTTGTGATATTGTGGTCGTCAAACTCAATGACTCAACACCGTAACATGAAAAAAAGATAGAAAACTATTACTTATGAAAAAGTTTTTTGTTATTTAAATGGTAAATGGACTGCATTTATATAGCGATTTTCTACTCCTATGTGTACTCAAAGCGCTTTACAATTTTTGCCTCACATTCACCCATTCACACACACATTCATACACCGGTGGTGGAGGCTGCCATGCAAGGTGCCAACCTGCACACCGGGAGCAATTTGGGGTTCAGTGACTTGCTCAAGTACACTTTGATGGGGTCAGGAAGAACCAGGGCTTAAACCTGCAACCTTCCAGTTGCCGAACGATAGCACTACCTCCTGTGCCACCATCTATTTCATGAATGTATGGTGATTTTGAATTTCATGCATGCCATGTGCTCTCTGTCTGGTATTCACTACATTGAGCAGCGGCCAGTTTGTGCAAAAATCTCAACCCCGTCACACTCAACCCGTTATGTTTTTGATTGTAATGGGGTTGTGAGATTGTGATGGGGTTGAGATTTTAATACTTTGGTTGTTAAGTTATCCAATTATTTAAATTAATTATTATTATATTCAATCAACATTCTTATACTGCATGCATGCAGAATGTGATTTATGTTCCATGTTAAGAATGCGAGTAAGATGGCACCAACAACAGCAGCAGAAAGGCAAAGGAAGTTTCGGGAACGCCTTAAAGCTGATCCTGAAAGAAGGGAGAGATACCTGCAGAGTGAGCGTGAGAGATGGAGAAAGAATGTAGAGGCAGGGAAGAAGAAAGCAATTAATGAACTGCATACTGTATATACAGACACACACACTGATGCAGGCACACACATGCAGAAACACTCTGACATGGACACAGACACAGGCGCTGATACAGACAGACACACTGAAATCGTTAACTGATTATTATTGTTATTAGTTCAACCAGTTCATCAAGTTTAATTGTATGTTATCGGAGCAAGGATGAGGTGACTTTTAGCACACCTCATGAGGCTCTCTTATGCCTAGACACACACACACCCACCCACACACACACACACACACACACACACACATTATGTTACATTTGAGCAATTCACTTTACAATGTTTGTTAGTTGTTAATATACTGTTGTGGTTGTTTTTACTTTAGATTAATAAAACTTAATTCTACTGCAATTTGTATCTGGTGTCCTTGCTATGGTTACAAAGTGAGATATAATGCTAATGTAAAGTCCTATACATTGAATTTCAGAGTAAACAACTGTTTATATGTGTTGGGTTGAGATTGTTTATATATTATCACTCATGTGTATTCTTATGAATGTATAACTTGTTTTACATGGCAACTGTGTAAATGCTTAACAGTAATTTTCTATCACGTGCAGCAGACGAGCCCACCTCTGCTGTCAGAATTAGGTTAAATAGGGGCAGCATGTGGCTTAGTGGGCTAAGCCGTGTGCCTGTAATCACAAGGTCGCCGGTTCAAGCCCAGCCTCAGCACGTCTGGGTCCTTGAGCAAGTTGAGGGAGGCGTAAAAACAATTTCAATAAAGTATCAATTAATTAAATTAATAGGCAAAAAAGCAAATCGTGTCATCTTTCTTTGTTTTACTTGCGTCGGGAGCGTGTAGGACCGCTCTCAGCGGAAGATCGCTATTCACGTTCTAAATACCTGGGGTGGTCCCATAGCGTGAAACTGCCGATCATATCAGTAGTCAGGGCCAGGTCTGGGTTTGTACCACATGGTCACATGGAGGCCATCGTCGGGCATAAATTGAACCTTATCTGCTTCCTGCTTTACTCTAGTTTTCCTTAGTAATTCCCGAGCTTGTGGTGTTTGGCCTAGGTCTAGAGACTAGTAATACTGCGGAACTGACGATCCATGGACCACTAAAGCTTGCCTGTCTATTATTGCTTTCATGCCTATGGGTGTGGCAACAACGCTTATGCCCATCTGGACCATAAGGTCTCTTCCTAATAGGTTTACTGGGCATGACGGGCTCACCAGAACTTGAACCTCACACTCTGTCCCTGTCTCTTCATCTTTTACCATTATGGGATTAGTTAATTGATGGGTCTCAGATTGCCCTCCGGCCATTCTCACA